TGGTGAGCTGACATTTGACTCCAAGAGAACACACTGAGCCAAAGCAATTCACCAGTGTGAATTGTTGGGGTTATTTTCATTGCCACTGCTGCTACTGAAAGCCTGATGTGACAGCTATGAGCCCAGGGCTTAGGGAGCAAGCATTGGACAGTTGGGTCAGCTGATATTTAATTCATTAATACCTACATTCCTTAGCTAAAACCTTCCCTAACCTACTGCCACATTTTTCCTTGTTACTATCTATAAAATCAAGTGGCTCCAACCATCCATCAAGGTTTGGTAACAGAGCAAGAATTGTCACCTTTCCAGACACTGTTGTGTTCAAAACCTTTCATTCACTGGGGCTGCTGAGTCAGGTAAAGCACTCTACCCACCAGAGTTATTTCTGTTTGTCAGACATCCAGGTGTTTGTAGAACAGATATGGAACTCCCCACCCCCTGTGTCAATGTTGTTCATTTTTAATATCCAAGTTGTTGTTATGTGCTTTCAATTTACCTCTGACTATGAATAAGAGAGCTTCAAAATATTATGTCTTCAACAGCCCAATTTAGCTCTTGTAAATTCAAGATGTGGCTTCATTTAGGGAGTCAGTCTATCTTTTTTTTCATCTTTTCCTGCTTCCTTCAACCTTTCCCAACATGATTGCCTTTTCCACAGAAACTTGAATTCCCGTGATGTGCCCAAACTATGACAGCCTCAGTTTCATCAGGCTTAATTTCCTCTAGGAGCCATTTGTTTATCTTTCTGGCAGTCCAGTTCTTCTCCAGCATCCTATTTTAAACAAATCTTTTTTTTTCTTGTCAGCTTTCTTTGCTGTTCAGCTTTCACATTCAAACATAGTGATCAGGACTACATGAGTGTGGGTGATCTTGGTCTCCAGCAGCACATCCTTACATATGATGGTCTTTTGTAATTCCTTCATTCCTTTCGAGTCAGAGTCTTCTCATTTCTTGCCTGTAGTCTCCATTTGGTTTGACAGTTGAATCAGGATAAACAAAAAGTTTCACTATTTCAATTTCTTTACTGTCAACATTAAAGCTGTGTAATTCTTCTGTAGTCATGATTTTGATCTTAATGTTCAACTGCAGTCCTGCTTTGGCACTTTTTTCTTTCACTTTCACTAAAAGTCATTTCAAGTCATTGCTGGAAGACCGTGTCATCAGAATATCTTAAATTACAGATATTTCTTCCACCAATTTTCACTTCTCCATCTGAATCTAGGCTGGTTTTCCATATATGTTCTGCGTATAGATTGAATAGATAAAATACACCCTTGTTTGACACCGTTGCCTATAGGGAATCATTCTGTTTCTCCATATTATGTTCTGCGTACAGATTGAATAGATAAGGGAATAAAATACACCCTTGTTTGCCTATAGGTAATCACTCTGTTTCTCCATAATCTGTTGTAATGGCAGCTTTTTATCCATAAAATAGGTTACACATCAGGATTGTCCTGATGAGATCCCTATGGGGCCATATTTGCTTAAATATCAGGGAAAGATTAGACAGCTTGGGTTTGTTTGTTTTTGTTTTGTTTTTGTCTATAGCTCAGATAAAGGCCCTGTTTGGGGCGGGATACTAAGAAATAAATGTTTTCCATGTTCTGGTGTCGGAGGTTATAGGTCCAGGAGCTCTGGGGATTCAGACAATAAGTCCCAGACAGTTCAGAGGAGACAACTACAATTGGGTTGAGCTGTGACACCAGCACCACTGACCAGAATCTTGCTGACTTTGGGAATCAGCTAATTTTAGAGACTTAAACCCTTGAAATTTCCTGCAGTAAAGCTCTTTTTTTCACTTTCCTTAACACTTTAGAATGTAAGGCTATAATCCCATACCACAAGACTCCTTGTCTTAACCTCAGATACTTACAAAGCCTTGTAATAAAGTTTCTGACACCAACAGAAAATGCTCTTATACCATTGGGGGCAGGAATGGCACAGCTAGGCTGAATCATATGGCACACAGTGGTTTCTTTTGGTATAACTGATTCTATAATGAAAAGACTGTGGCAAAATGAAATCTTCAAGAATAACAAGGAAATATGATTGTTTCCTTTGCTTCAACATCTGCATCAATATCATCACAGAGTACCCACATTGCTTGAAGTATATCCTTTATAAACCCATTGCTAAGCAGCAAATGTGGGCCCTCCAAAACCATGTGATAAATTCACAGTTTGGGGGGAGAAACCCAATGCTTTTAATATTTAGCTTCCATGACATAGAGCTACAAGAGGCACATTAAATGAATGTGTACAACAAGTAATGGCAAAAACTGCCAAGGGCTGGACAATGAATTTTGTTTTAAAACATTTTTCAAACAAAAAGGCAATTTCTGTCAGTTTTATGTTTTTCTGTTTTTACGTTAATTAAAAAACTCTAGCACTGTTCCAAATAATTTCTGTTTGCCATAATATCTGAAGACTAGCTAGATAAATCATATTTCTTCCTGCTAATCACCTCTTTCATGCAGTATATAAAATAATCCCATTGTAATGGTTATTGCCATTGACCCTCAACAAACAAATGGTACAAAAAAAAAAGCTAATAAGGTACTTTGGTGGGTCCTTATATTCAGTACTTCTAGAAGGGCAT